CAGGGAGATATCTGTACACTGACTGGTATCTCTCTCTCTCTCATTAGTGTATTGTTGTGTCCCTCCTAACCTTATACATCTCCATCAGATTCCCCCCTCAACATTCCCTGGTCCGAAGAAAACAACCCGAGCATATCCAGCCTCTCTTCTTCGCTGAAATGCTCCATCCCAGGCAACAATCCAGGTGAATCTGCTCTGCACTCCCTCCCAGTGCAATCCCATCCCTCGGTGCGGTGTGGCTGACCAGAACTGCACACAGTACTCCCAGCTACAGCCTATACAAGGACCTGTGCAGCACCAAATATAAACCTCCCTGCTGTTGTATACCACGGGAAAGGCTCGTGCTCTCTTCACCAGCCAAAGAACCTGTCCTTGCACCTTCGGGATCTGATTCAGTCAGTGACTGATTGATAGAATCAGACACAGAGGCAGAATGAACGTGCCACGATTTTATTTAGTGAAGCCCCAGTGGGGAACCAGCAGCCGTTTCCACGCCAATCAATCATTCCGGCTGCCTCCCAGGTTACATGATTTGCCGGCTCAATCCTGAGGGGGTCATCCCAGCCTGAGACGCCCCCCGATTCGATCCCATCTGCAACCCGATGATGGTCTGACCCTGTCGCATCTGTTCCTCGGTGAAATCGCGAGGGTTCTGCGCAGCTTTCCTGGTCGCAGAGCCGGAAAAAAGGACAAGAATGAGAAAACTGATTGTGGGCCAGGTCCCCGACCTGCTCTCACTCTCCAACCCTCTTGCCCTGAGGGAGCTCAGCACGGGGTGTCACAACAAGACAAGGTATGCCCATCTCCTCCGCCCCTGGTCCCTCTACACTGTCTCCTCCCATCAAACCTTCCCAGGACAGGGACAGCACGGGGTTAGATACAGAGTAAAGCTCCCTCTACACTGTTCCCCATCAAACACTCCCAGGGCAGGGACAGCACGGGGTTAGATACAGAGTAAAGCTTCCTCTCCACTGTCCCCCCATCAAACACTCCCAGGACAGGGACAGCACGGGGTTAGACACAGAGTAAAGCTCCCTCTACACTGTCCCCCATCAAACACTCCCAGGACAGGGACAGCACGGGGTTAGATACACAGTAAAGCTCCCTCTACACTGTCCCCCCATCAAACACTCCCAGGACAGGGACAGCACGGGGTTAGATGCACAGTAAAGCTCCCTCTACACTGTCTCCCATCAAACACTCCCAGGACAGGGACAGCACAGGGTTAGATACAAAGTAAAGCTTCCTCTACACTGTCCCCCCCATCAAACACTCCCAGGACAGGGATAGCACGGGGTTAGACACAGAGTAAATCTCCCTCTACACTGTTCCCATCAAACACTCCCAGATCAGACCTCACCATTGCCTTTCCCGGGACTCACCGTGGGAACCAGCTCGGGTCACCTCGAAAATATCCATCGTCTTTGGAGATTGCTTTCCCTCCCAGTGCCATCAGAGACTGTTGAACAGCTGGTAAATTTTTAGCTGACAGACAGAGAGAAACTCCTGTCATTTGTACTGTTATTGATCTGTGGAAACGAAGAACAAGAGGTGGCCATTCAGCCCCTTCGCCAGCCTGTCCCATTGGAACAGCGTGAGGCCATTCAGCCCATTTCGTCACCTGTCCCACAGCAACAGGAGGCCATTCAGCCCCCTCTCTCACCTGTCCCACAGCAACAGGAGGCCATTCAGCCCCTTCTCTCGCCTGTCCCATAGCAACAGCAGGAGGCCATTCAGCCCCTTCTTCAGCCTGTCCCACCAGCACTGGAGGAGGCTACTCAGCCCTCCGTGTTCCAGGAGGATACATTCAGCCCATTTCGGATTTTGCACCCACGAACAAGAGGAGACCATTCTGCCACCTCCGAATCCTATTTCCCCATTCGGCTGCCCCGAGGAAGATCCTTGGCATCTGTTCGAGGTGACCAGCTCACCTTCCCACAAGTCCACTGTCTGGAAGAGGTCGGTGGCAGTGAGTCCATAGTCCGTCATGGCCTTGAGGAACTGGGAGATCTGTTCCATCTGGGTGAAGGCCCGTTCAGAAACCTGGATCCTTTTGATGGGGCGCCTCTCCGGCGGGTTCAGGCTGTTGATGAGGTGGCATAGGACCTGCACGAGAGGCAGGCAGTGTTAGGAAGAGGGAGGAAGCAAACACGTTTCCACCTTACACTCAACCTGACCTCTTCCCTCACTAGCGTGGCATCCCACTTCCCCCCCAAGAAACATTCCCTCCCCACTCCTGAGGTTTCAGATTTCAGTCCAGGGATGCAAATTCTTCGGGAACACTAACTCTACTGAGATGACCTTGTTCGCTCAACCCACCTCCAATCCATGAGAGGGACAAGAAGAGAATGGACATCCAGCTGAATGCAATCCCATTCCCCTTTCCCAACTCAAACCCCAAACTCAATCGCAAACTTACCAAACTCGATGCTGAAACTCTGCTCCAAATTCAGACCCAACCCCCAAAAATTGAAATCTCAAATTCCACACCCCCGCCCACCATAAAGCTCAATCTTCACCTCAAATGTTCAAACCTCCAGTCCCGATCGACTAATCTCAAACCCACACTGAGGCTCAAACTCCAAGCTTAAATGCAAACTCTAACTTTGGCTGCTTGCTCTGATGTGAAGCCCAAAAGTAGTCCCAAATTTAAACCCAACATCTTAAACTCAATTCCAAACCCAACCCAATGGGAAGGCTCAGTGGTTAGCACTGCTGCCTCACAGCGCCAGGGACCCAGGTTCGATTCCACCCTCGGGCAACTGTCTGTGTGGGAGTTTGCACATTGTCCCACTGTCTGTGTGGGTTTCCTTCGGGAGCTCCGGTTTCCTCCCACAGTCCA